CCTCAACTCTCAGCAAGATCAAGGGACACCTGAGTGGCTAAGGCAGCAAATTCTGCAGGAGGACTTCCGCAAACGTCATGTGGGAGATGGTGCTTCCACTAAGACTGCTGAGAGGTATGGAGTTGCAGGGTGCGGCAGAGGAAGAGGGGGTTGGAGAGGCCGAGGCCGTGGGAGGAGCTTTGGCAGAGGAAGAGGCCGAGGTGACTACAATAAGGGGCATGGGAGCTCTGGTGGCAAGGGGAGTACCAGAATGGAGGGCACCTGCTGGTTCTGCAAGAAAGTCGGGCATTCTTGGTTCAAGTGCTTCAGCAGGCCGGAGGGATGGGCACCTCCATGCATGAAGCCGCCAAGTGGTGAACGCGCACAAGGTGGCAATGTGCAAAGCTCAGGTGCACAAGGTAATGCCTATCCTAGGATGTTTCTCGTGGTTGAGGATGTGCATGGGCATGAGTGTTATGTGGGATATGTGGGAAAGGTTGTGATGCATCCTCTCACACACTGGGTAATTGCCTCAGGTTGCACCAGTGACATGACCCCACAGGCAGATTTGCTTGATGAGGTAAACCCCCCTGGGAAGATAAAGTATGGGGCAGCAGCATCCAGGACTTTGCTCCTTGTGATGGGTGATGGGAATGCCAAGGTTAAGGGAGCTAATGAGGAGCTTGTAGGGCTTGGGAATGTTATGTTGGTTGAAGGTTTGTCTGCTAACCTTCTCTCTGTGCGGCGACTGCAGAAGAGCAAGGCCGAAGTGACCTTTAGACCAACCAGCTGCTGTGCTAAGCTTGGGAAGAATTTGCTGTGGAGTCTGGAAGAGAAGACCAGCTGCATCAAGGATCTGTGGCAGCTGCCCATCATCCCTTGGAATGGGAAGATTCCAATAGCAGCAACGGCAGCAGCGGCAAAGGCAATAGCAAGAGGAGATGCAACTGCACCAGCTGATGGGGTCCTGGAAGCAGTTAAGAAAGTGCAGCAGCAGCAGACACATGGTGAGGTGCTTGCTGATGTGGATGCGAGTGCGGCATGGGCTGAGGCTTTATGAAGAAGTGGTGAAGCCGATTCCGAGACATGGCATGAGAGGCTGTGTTATGTGAAATTCCCTGTGCTGCAGAAGTTGGTGAAGGATGGGAGCCTCAAAGTATTGGAGGTCAAGGGGGAGTGAAGGAGATTGGGAAATGCCCTACATGCTTAAAGACCAAGTTCTCCAAGTTCCCCTTCAACAGCACTATAGGACCAGCCAAGACCCCACTTGAACTTGTGCACATGGATGTGGTGGGGCCCACAAGAGCCCCTTCCCTCTCAGGCGACCGCTATTTCTTGACAATTGTGGATAACCACACTCGAGCAGTGTTGGTTTACCCTTTGAAGAGCAAGCAAGAAGTTGGAGGATTCTACAACATGGGATGTGCACTTCTTACTGTGTCTTCTCTCTCTTGATTGTGTCTTCCCTCACTTGACTGTGTCTTCCCTCACTTGAGTATTTCATCTCTCAATTGAGTGTGTCTTCCACCACTTGAGCGTGTATTCCCTCTCTTGAGTGTGTCTTCCTTCACTTGAGTGTGGTTTCCCTTACTTGAGTGTGCCTTTTCTCACTTCAATGTGTCATTTATCACTTGAGTGTATCTTCCCTAACTTGAGTGTGTCTTTCCTCACTTGAGTGTGTCTTCCCTCAATTGAGTGTGTATTCTCTCACTTGATTGTGACTTCCCTCACTTGCAGTGTGTCTTCCCTCTCTTGAGTGTGTCTTCTCTCACTTGGAGTGTGTGTTCTCTCACTTGAGTTCGTCTTCCCTCACTTGAATGGGTCTTCCCTCACTTGAGTGAATCTTCCTCACGTGAGTGTGTCTTCCCTCAATTGAGTGTGTCTTCTCTCACTTGATTGTGACTTCCCTCACTTTTAGTGTGTCTTCCCTCTCTTGAGTGTGTCTTCTCTCACTTGGAGTGTGTGTTCTCTCACTTGGGTTCGTCTTCCCTCACTTGAATGGGTCTTCCCTCACTTGAGTGAATCTTCCCTCACGTGAGAGTGTCTTCCCTCACTTGAGTGTGTCTTCCCTCACTTGGGTGTGTATTCCCTCTCTTGAGTGTGTCTTCTCTCACTTGAGTGTGTCTTCTTTTACTTGAGTGTGTCTTTCCTTACTTGAGTGTGGTTTCCCTTACTTGATTGTGTCTTTCCTCACTTGAAGTGTGCCTTCCCTCACTTGAATGTATCTTCCCTCACTAGACGTGTGTCTTCCCTCACTTGAGTGTGTCTTCCTTCACTCGGAGTGTGTCTTCTCTCACATGAGTGTGTCTTCCCTCACGTGAATGGGTCTTCCCTAACTTGAGTGTGTTTTCCCTCACTTGAGTGTGTCTTCTCTCACTTGAGTGCGTCTTCTCTCACTTTTGTGTGTGTTCCCTCACTTGAGTTTGTCTTCCCTCACTTGAGTGTGGTTTCCCTTACTTGGAGTGTGTGTTCTCTCACTTGTGTGTGTCTTCTCTCACTTGGAGTGTGTGTTCTCTCACTTGAGTGAATCTTCCCTCACGTGAGAGTTTCTTCCCTCACTTGAGTGTGTCTTCCCTCACTTGAGTGTGTCTTCCCTCAATTGAGTGTGTCTTTTCTCACTTGAGTGTGTGTTCCTTCACCTGAGTTTTTCTTCCCTTAATTGAGTGTGTCTTACGTCACTTGAGTATGTCTTCTCTTACTTGATTGTGTCTTCCCTCACTTGAGTGTGTCTTCCCTCACTTGAGTGTGTCTTCTCTCACTTGAGTGTGTCTTCCACCACTTGAGCATGTATTCCCTAACTTGAGTGTGTCTTCTCTCACTTGAGTGTGTCTTGTGTCACTTGAGTGTGTCTTCCCTTACTTGAGTGTGGTCTCCCTTGAGTGTGTCTTTCCTCACTTCAGTGTGTCTTTTCTCACTTGAGTGATTCTTCCCTCACGTGAGAGTGTCTTCCCTCACTTGAGTATGTCTTCTCTCACTTGAGTGCGTCTTCTGACTTTAGTGTGTCTTCTCTCACTTGAGTGTGTCTTTCCTCTCTTGTGTGTGGTTTCCCTTGAGTGTGTCTTCGCTACCTTGAGTGTGTCTTTTCTCACTTGAGCGTATCTTCCCTCACGTGAGTGTGTCTCCCCTCACTTGAAGTGTCTGTTCCCTTACTTGATTGTATCTTCCCTTACTAGAAGTGTGTCCTCCCTCAATTGAGTGTGTCTTCCCTCAATTGAGTGTGTCTTCCCTCACTTGAGTGTGTCTTCCCTCACTTGGAGTGTGTCTTTGTTGGTGCAACCCTATGGCTTGCACTCGGCTTGTCGTCCTTGTTTGTGTGTGTGCATGCATGGCATGGAATGAATTGTGAGTCTATGTCATTGCTATCCAGTGCTTGTGTGTGTGTTTGAATGGTGTATCACAATGTGGTTTGTGTCGGTCAAGACATTAGCGACTTTTTACAACTCGCATGTCAAGTCGTCGTTTGTGTGTCGCATGTGTTATTTCTATTTTGTCGAGTGTGAAGTGTCCATCGTGTTGCAGGTGTGTGCAGCAAGCCCCCATCAACTCAAGAATAATTTATCTTGCAGAACCAAGACCAAGAGCTCAATATTTCAAGCCCAAGGGACGCGGATAAATATTAAATAGTGGAAATAGTAACGCTACTTCGTCTAGTGTTACATTTCACTTGGTGTAGCCCCTTAGAGGGTTGGTTTCGAGACTCTTTGTGGTTTGGGACCCTGTGGTGGTGTACCACCAACCTGGACCTCGGCTCTTGGGGTATGTAGAGGCTGGGAACCATCTCCCTCTCGAATTCTTCTTCCTAAGTTTTTTGTACTCCTAAGACTATAGTGGCTGCTGTACCTCCTGCCAGTCAAACTGCCATAGCGTCGTCAAATCTTCATGGAATTTCATGATTCAACTTGCTGCTGATAGACGACAGCATTGCGCTCCAGATCCAATTTACAGATCACCATTAAAGTCAGCGAGCAGATCGTTATCAATATTTGAAGCCGTCTGACGGAAATCCGACTGTGCTCTCTATCTCTCATTATTGGCACATCTGAGCCTATTGTGACTATAACAAGTGGTATCAGAGCCCCTTGGAGCTGTCTCGACCATGCCTAGGCCTGAGGAAGGGGGTGGCAGAGGTGCTGGAGGCAGAGAAGCTGCCCAAGCACAAGGCCAACACCAAGATCCACCCGTTGCTCCGGTGCAACCTAGACTTGGACCCTCTAGGGGTGAGCCTAGAGTGTTTGGCCTTGACAAGTTCAACGGTGACAACTTTGCTGAGTGGTCTTTCAAGATGGAGAACATCTTTGACCACTATGATCTGCTGGAGGTGATGGAAGGAACGGAGAAGCGCCCCGAGAACGACCCGGAGAAGAGCCCGTGGGTGCGGAAGAGCGCACAAGGCTACCTTCTACTTGGGCAAGCGTTGGGGAGCAGCCAAATCCGTCACATCAAGCCTTTTCAGCGTGAACCAGCAAAGGGACCAAAGGCATGGGCTGCTCTCAAGGGTGTACACGCTCCTGCAACAGCGGCGGTGGCTGTGGTTTTGGAGCGGCAAATGGCGGCACTTTGAATTGACGAAGGTGAATCGGTGGAGGAAGGAGTGCAGAAATTCTTCGACTTGTTGACATGCCTCGAAGGAGCTGATCTGAACTACAGTGACCTTCAAAAGAAGACCAAGCTGCTGGCCTTACTTCCAGACTCATGGTCCTCGCTCATCATCAACCTAAATCGAGATCTGCCCCGACTCTCACTCGAAGATGTGAAGCGGGAAATCTTACAAGAAGATTTCCGCCGACGCGAATTGGCGGGTCCCGATGGTGCCGGAGTTGCAAGCATGGGCTGTGGGCACGGCCGTGGAAGGGGCAGAGGGCGAGGAGGCAGATTTGGCAGCAGTAACTTCAGTGGAGGCCGTGGTAATGGAGGATATGGCACAGCAACAAACAACAACAATGGCTACGGGCGTGGCGCGGTCGATTTGATGGCGAATGCCACTTTTGCCACAAGACCGGCCACATGTGGAGAGATTGCTTCAGATTGCCTGATGGATGGACCCCTTCTCAAGGCCAAGAGGGCAGAGGAGCAAGGGGAGGAAGAGGCAGAGGTCGTGGAGGCCGTGGTGGCCGTGTAGGTGAAGCGGCAAGCATGAAAGGTGGAGACTACGACAAGGACTCGAGTGAAGATCGATACCCGGGCCAATTCTTCTTTGTCTCCACGCAAGCGGCAGCTGCAGCAGGAGGTGTGGATGGCTTTAAGGAGCCAGCTACTGTGGGAAAGGTCACCCTTCACTCTCTGGACTTTTGGGTGATCGATAGCGGCGCCACCTATAGCATGACACCTCGTGCGGACTTGCTCACCGAACTCGAACCGTCGCCGGTCAAGCATGTTATATCGGCTTTGGGGCAGCGAGCAGAGGTGAAAGGCATGGGCAAGGCCATGTTCAAGGGTGCTGATGGGAAGATGGTGGGCCTCAAGAACGTGCTTTGGGTGCCCAATCTAGCAGCCAACCTGATCTCTGTTCGGCTTTTGCAAAAGGCCAGCATGGACACATCTTCCAAGGGCTCCAAAACATATACCGCGCGGCTTGGTGAGCGGAAGCTTTGGGACCTTCATGAGGACAGGGACATCTACAATGAGATGTGGCAAATCCCAGTGGTCCCCATGCCTAAGGAGAGGCAAGTGGCAGCAAGCATCAGCACCAAGATTGAAGCGGTTGGTGGGGTTGATCACGGAAAGCAAAGTGACACCAAGAGTGATTCGAAAGAGTGCAATCTTGGAGAGACCAGCAAGGCGTGTGAATCCAAGGAGAGTGGTGCAGCAGCCAAAGGTGGTGGAAAATGAGGAGGAGAATCCTAAGATCAGTAAAGCAGCAGTGGCGAAGGAGAAAGGAGAGAGCTCGTGGGGCACAATTGCGAGTGCCGCTTTCTCCAACCTGACTTCCGCTATGGGAGAGTGTGATTGGCTGACCTTGCATCGGCGAATGGGGCATGTGGCATTGCCCATTTTGCAGCAGATAGTTAAGCAAGAGATGGTCAGTGGAATACGTGTCCAACATGCATGCAAGCCAAGTTCACTCGCTACCGGTCCATAGCTCGGAGACAACGGCGAAGGCACCACTTGATGAGGTGGTGATGGATGTGGTGGGCCCCTTGAAGCTTGGAGCTGCTGGAGCAGAGTACTTCCTCACCATTGTGGACGTCTACACTCGCATGATGCTGCCCAAGAAGAGTGACGTAGCTGAAACGGTGAAGACCGATTGGTTGCCGATGGTGGAGCGGCAACAAGACCGACTTGTGAAGGCTATTTGCACTGACCGTGGGGGAGAGTTCCTGAGCAAGGATTTCCTCAAATTGACTGAAGAAGCAGGGCATAAGGCACTCTCTTACCATGCCCTACTCTCCTGCAATGAACGGCATCGCCGAGCGTGCGAATCGGACACTCACGGAGACGGCTCGGGGACTTCTCATTGAAGCCGGTCTTCCCAATTATTTTTGGCCGGATGCGGTGCGGCATGCTTGTGTGGCCAAGAACAGAGCCTTGACTCATGTGGGAGAAGACAAATGGGTGCCCTATGTGGAGTGGATTGGAAGGAAGCCGAAGGTGGATATGCTTCGGATGTTCGGGGTGGCTTCTTTGGACCCATTTACCAGGAAGTTCTTGGTGAGCAGAGATTTGCAATTCATGGAGAACTTGGCGTACAAGGAGTGGAAGGCGGAGAATCAAGCGAAGATTGGTGTGCGGCTTGGAGAGGTGAAGAGTACCGGCTTGGAGCAATGTGGAGCTGCCCTTGGAGCTGAGTAGCAGCAGCACAATCACGAGGCAATCTCCTCAAATGAATGGGGGTGAGGAGGAGGAGGAGGTGCAGCAAGATGATGAGCGTGCACCATCACTTCCGCCTCGTGCTACAAGTGCTCGTGGGAACCGACCAGATTTACCGCAACGCCATGAGAGCATTCAAGTCCCTGCAGCAGAGCAGGAAGGAAGGGGGAGAAGGAGGACTCAGCCCCCTAATAGGTTGAGCTATGACCGGCTTGGAGGACCAGCCAACTCAACCTTGACCGGTTCGGCTCTCATGCTAGGCGATGATGCGGAAGATGAAAGCGAGGAGTGCGCCTTTGCCTTCTTCTCTCCGGTGGAGATGCCGGGGGAGCCTACAAATCCCAATGAGGCTTGGGAGGGCCCCAATGGGAAGGAGTGGAAGAAGGCCTCAGATGAAGAAATGGGGAGCATCATAGAGAATGACACATTTGACTTGGTGAACCTACCTCCGGGGCGGAAGGCGATCTCTTCGAAGTGGCTCTTCAAGCGCAAGACCGACGCCCGACGGCAACATCGAGCGCTACAAGAGCAGACTTGTAGCCAAGTGGTATCAGCAGCAAGAGAAGAAGGAGTACAATGAAGTGTATGCCCCTGTGGTGAAGGGTACAACCAGTCGAACCCTCTTCGCCGCGGCGGCCATCAAAGGATGGGTGGTGAAGCAAATGGATATAGTAACGGCCTTCCTCAACGGCGTTTTGGAGGAAGAGACTTACATGGAGCAGCCAGAGGGGTACAATGATGGGAGTGGCAGAGTGTGGAAGCTGAAGAAAGCACTCTATGGCCTCAAGCAAGCCCTAGGCAATGGTACATCAAGCTGCGGGAAGTCTTGGAGGCGATCGGCTTCACTCCCTCAACGGCCGATCAATCCTTGTTCATGCTTGGCGAGGGGGAGCAGAGGAGCTTCATGGTGGTTTATGTGGATGACATCCTCATATTCTCACCCTCCTCTGACCTTGTGAAGGAGGTGATGCTGAAGTTTCAAGACAAGTTCAAGTGCAAGACCCTAGGTGACGTCAACTACTTCCTTGGGCTTCACATTGAGCGAGATGTGGAGAAGCGGTGGATGCGAGTGCATCAAAAGAAGTACTTGGAGGCATTGGCTGCAAACTTTGGGAAGAGTGAAGGTCATGTGGCTACTCCTCTTCCCTCAGGGTTCAAGTGTGTGAAAGGACCAGCGGAGGAAAGTGTTGGTGAAGAGGAGAGGCGCCGTTTTCATTCCTTGGTGGGCAGCCTCATGTATGCCGCCGTTCACACAAGGCCGGATGCAGCCTTTGCTACCGGGCAGCTGGCTAGGGTTGTCCAATGCCCTACTGAAGAGCAGGTAGCAGCTGGAGAGAGGGTGGCCAAGTACCTTGGCCAAACAGCAACTGTTGGACTGCAATACTCCGCGGCGGCACAAAGGCGTCAAAAGGGTGCGGATGGAGTCGAACCCGGGAGGCTCTTTCTCACCGCCTTCTCTGATGCATCTTGGGCATCAAAACCAGAGGATATGACAAGTGTGAGAGGCTTCATCTGCTCTGTTGGTGGAGGCCCAACAGCTTGGGAGAGCAAGAAACAAGTGGACCAAGCATTGAGCTCGGTGGAGTCCGAGTACATGGCACTCTTCCGTGCCATAAGAGAGGTTGTGTGGCCGCGGCGTTTGCTAGCTGAATTGGGGGAGGAGCAGCAAGGACCTACCCCACTCTACTGTGATAGCCAGGGTGCTATTGCATTGGCAAATAACCCCGTTCTTCATGGCCTTACCAAGCACATGAAGGTGAAATGGCATTGGGTGAGGAGCATGGTAACCGCGGGTGAAGTGGAGTTGCACTACGTGAAGACGACGGCGCAGCCTGCTGATATGATGACTAAGTGGCTGGTTGAGCAGCAGCATTGGAAGTGTTGCAAGCTTGCTGGGATGGCTCTGAACTAAGAGGAGCAGATTCTAAGGCCAACAATCCGAGGGGGAGTTTGTTGGTGCAACCCTATGGCTTGCACTCGGCTTGTCGTCCTTGTTTGTGTGTGTGCATGCATGGAATGAATTGTGAGTCTATGTCATTGCTATCCAGTGCTTGTGTGTGTGTTTGAATGGTGTATCACAATGTGGTTTGTGTCGGTCAAGACATTAGCGAGTTTGTGTCGGTCAACTCGCATGTCAAGTCGTCGTTTGTGTGTCACATGTGTTATTTCTATTTTGTCGAGTGTGAAGTGTCCATCGCGTCGCAGGTGTGTGCAGCAAGCCCCATCAACTCAAGAAGAATTTATCTTGCAGATCCAAGACCAAGAGCTCAAGATTTCAAGCCCAAGGTACGCGGATAAATATTAAATAGTGAAAATAGTAACGCTACTTCGTGTAGTGTTACATTTCACTTGGTGTAGCCCCTTGGAGGGTTGGTTTCGAGACTCTTCATGGTTGGGGTCTGTGGTAGTGTACCACCAACCTTGACTCGGCTCATGGGG